GATTTCATTTTTCAAACATTCACGTAAATAAAGGCAACAACAAGGCACTACAGTATGAATTTATATTATATTTCTGAAGTTTAAGAATTGGACCCGAGCACTTCTATTTATCTAACGATAGCTTGCTAGCGTAGTTTATCCTTCCCATGTTTAGAGAACCATTGTTTAACCCTGGTGGTCTCAGTATAAAAACAGCATTGAGTTCGAGAACGTAACTACCACACCTTGGCTTTATTCCATTTGCCAGTCGCATTTGAGTCGGCTAATTTAACAGATCAGTAAAAACTAGAAGATCAGATTTAGCTTTGGTTGTTTCTGCATAAGTTTCCATTAAATGAATCGCAGGAGAAATAGATGAAAAGGTATACCAAATGTTTTTTAGGGGAAATTAAAAATTTAGGTTCTTAATGGTAGTAATTGTAATGCGTCATTGTGGCTTCCATGTACATAAGTTAAATCAGACCGAAAAAAACCAGACTATCTTTCTGGAGTTCTTGTTGGATGAAATTATGTTGGCGACCGTCTCCCTTTTTTATGTTCAGAGAACTGTTTATTCTTAGCAATCACAAACTTGAAGGGTAAAGCGAGACATAGTTCAACGTTGTGACCTATAATAGCAACTCACAAATGAACCATAACAACGTCATTGATCGTTGCAGAGAGTCGGTAAAATTCTATCCTTTCTCACAGAAAAATTACTAAAGCTCTAACCACGCTCTGGTGTTGGTTAGAATTTACAATACATTAGTCTCTAAAAATTCCAAATAATATGACCTCTTTGATTTAACTCCGAAATTGAAAATGTAAACGTTCCTTTAGTGGAAAACCAACTGAGCAATAGTTCGACTATGTACTGGGTTTGTATTCAAAGGTAGCTTGTAATTATTAGGAGTTTGTGGTACAAATGGGACTAACCTCAGTTAGCAACTTGTTTCAAAAACTTAGAAAAAACAAGTAGGTTCTGGAAGCATATTGTAAATTTTGTAGGCCCTCGAAAACTTCTTCATGAATAATCAGTAGTGTTATATAACAAAGAGAAAAGACATGGAATGGGTAGTGACATAGGTAACACCCAACAACTGTTTAGAATTATCCTGTACAACAATATCATAAGGCAAATATTAGAAAAGACATCCTCTAAAATATTCAAACTGCTATCAGCCCTCAGGTCGGCCTACCGGAACTGTGCATCATACACTTTGAGAAATAACTTAATTTGCCCCCAGCTCCATTTTAATCACTTGCTTCTCAGGAATTGGTAAAAAGCCGATATGATCTGTCTCGATGTCCGATCTTCCTAGTTTGTGTTAAAAAAAACTCACAAAAGTATCGGTTTAACTAGTAAATTATCCATAATCTTGGTCTCTATAGTTACTCAATGTTCAAACGAAACTCAAGGATACCATATATGGGAAAATTTGAGAACGTTATAGGTCTAGACGTAGATTCCTCGATAGAAAGTTTATGGATGGTCAACTTTTCAAGCATAAAGATTTTTACCGGCGCTTAACTTGAGTATATTTATTGACTTCGTCGAGAGAAAGGTTGTACCAAAAAGATCACATATACTTCCTCAAGGCACTCTATTTGAACTTGAACGAATCAGATATTCTCAGAAATCAAATCTTACTAGAAAATCTACTTGCTGAACTAATTGAACAATCTCGAAAGCTTATTTGAAATGCATTTATCATCCTTCAAATTCAAAACGTTGGACTAATGTCTAATCTGATCAGAGAGAATGAAGCAATGGTGCTCGTTAACTAATCCGCTTATCTTTAAAATTTCATCAGGCTAGTACGTTAAAGGTTGATACCTTACACAAAATTGTTTCATTAATGATACGGGTAAAATATTCATCTATTTATAAGAAAATTCAGGATACTATATAGCAGTTTGCTCTGTATTGTTATTTAACAATGAGAAATGCCATGACGATTGGTGTTTTCAAAGTATAGGTTGGGTATGGTAGTACCGTAAAGTGTGGTTACTTTATAAATCCTTTTTTATTTTTAATGCCATGATCATCTATTAAAATAAACTTCATCAAATCTAAATCTCAATTAAATTTTAATTCATCAATAAATTGTCTCTCAGACTCTAATTTGTTATTATTATTATTATTATCATTATTATTATTATTATTATGATTATTATTATTATTATTATTATTATTATTAGTAGTAGTAGTAGTAGTAGTAGTAGTAGTAGTATTGGCTTTATTCAAAATCATGTTTTCAATGGTGGTCTAGCTTTAACTGACTCATGATTTAAACCTGTGACAAGATCGAATTCTCAGCACAAAGCATTCCAATAAGTTTCCTTATTCCTTGATCAACCCTTGCGACAAATATTGATTGGTCGCTAGTTAGATGTTAGCAGTTGAGGAATCGATTAGTGTATGTTCTTTCCGATGCATATTGACAGCAACCACGATGTCTCTGATTGAGCTCTTTTGTAACTTGTACAGCGAAATGTTGTGAACGTTTTACAAACGCACCTGGATACGTTGTGCTATCAATTGGCATAACGACGTGTTAAAACAAACAAGAAAACACAAAACTTGTTGAAATATGCAGATGGCAGGAACAGGTAGCCCATGTATTCACGCAGGCCGCCATTTTGTGGGTGCATAATAAATCTTCATTTGTTGGATTCAGCTTCGTCCCTGTATCAAGGCATATTAGTTTTCATTTATTTATAATAAAGTTAATTTTAAGTAAATAGACACTGTCTTCTTATTGCTGTGTTAACAGTATAAATGTATATTCACGGACTAACCTTTGTTAGACAATCACTGAATTGCAGGAAACCTTGAATATCTATTCTTTCTTAGTATGGGTTTCTGAAGCACTATATATCCACAATCCTAGTGGAGATCGAATTAAGGACTTTTTTCTCATTGAGAGTGTTTAATCTCTAAGATCACAGAATCAAAAGTTGATAGTTTACATATTGTAGATAACTGTTCTACACCTAACATAGTTGAACTCTAATGGTCACAGCTTCATAATGGAATTCCTAAAAAAATTTCTATTAGTCGTTTACTAGTGAGCACACGCTTATTAGTACAACAGGTTAAGTGTTCAATTTGAAACCAAAGGTCCTGTGTTCGATCCTCGTTAAGATTGTGGATGAGAAGTTTTGTCCATATTATGACAAAATAGCTAACCAGTATGTCCTACATTTCGATGGTCATCTAAGAAAGGTCAGTCTGTGAATATATATATATATATATATATATATATATATATAACTAGGTATTACGAGATGTAGATGTATACACTCTTCCCTTAAACTGTGAGATTAAAATTGCTCCATATCTTTCTTTCCACGAACTAATTCTTTCTTCCTGTACTATATCCTTATATGCAATCTTCCTTTTATATATTGCCACCACTGAATTAACTACTCCTATGAATTCGGTGTTTATCTTGTTGTGCTAATGAGGTATGGCAACTTGAACCGATGCACATATGTGCCTGATTCTACATTGCAGCTGACTGACTGACTGAACTGATCTGACATACAGTCGTAAGAATTGAAACAGACTCATCAGTGTCGGAATAAGCTAATGATAAGTGGAAGTAACAGTAATGATTATTTAAACTGATGAAAAATACGTTATTTTAGAAACCTTATTTTGTAGGTTAAGTAATCATGTGAGGTAATGACAACTTGGACCGATACATATATGTGCCTGATCCTATCTTGTAGCTGACTGATTGATAGAGGTATTACGAGATAGTTACAGATGAAGACATTAACACCACTGGATGCCGGTTGGCTCAGTGGTCTAGTAGTTAACCGCTAGCGCACGAGATCGATAGATCCTGCTTATCTAGCTTCAAATGACTCTACTGAAATTATTACAATCGCCACAAAACCCCTTCTGATACTAATTACTAAATTACTCTTACAAACATAAAAAATCAATATAAGTAAACAATCAATTCCACATTTTCAACTATTCATTCTATGAGGAATATTTCTATTTCTATTTCAAAAATACAATATAACATAATAATAAATAGTAATAATAAATATATATATATATATTTTTTATGAACAGACAATGGGTCATTCATTTTTGTTTAAAATTTAAAATAGAATGAATCCACCATTGTTTCGAATTATGCATGGTTCACAGTTTATGATAGTTTTATATTTTTTTTTAAAAATTTTTTTCTTGTTTTTTTTTATTGATTTTAAATTCAATTAATTTATGGTTGTCATGTGAACAATAAACGTTTCAAATGGTTTGAATCAATCAATAAATAAACAAACAAACAAATAAATAAATAAATGAAATAAATAAACAAAATCAATAGTCAATTATTATGTAATCATGAATCTAGAAAATATTTAAAATTATGAAATTAAATATGAATATAATGATATATAGTATATTGAATTATTATAGTTCATTTGTTTGTTTATTTTGATTTATATTTGTATGCATGAATAAATGATACAATTAATAAATGAATTAATTAATTAATTAAATTATAATTGAGTTTATTCACTAATTGATTATGTAATTAAAGAAAGAAATTAATTAAAATTAATGAAAAGTGATTTATTTATTTAGTTAATTAGTTAGTTAGGTAAGTAATCCATGGAATATCCATTATTCTACATACAATTTATTATGATATCACTAAACAAATAGACTATTCATAAACAAAGATTGAAAACACATGGATTATATATATGCAGATAAGGTTAATAATTATTTTTTTTTGTATTTATGATGATAATTCTATGTATACAACAAACATACATGAATAACTTCAATATCAGGCACTAATTTAATTTATATTGAAATTGCCACACAGTTTTGTATTAAAATATTAGAATAAAATAAATAAATCAATAAATCAATAAATAAATGATTCAATCAGGAATAATGAAGTTCATTCTTGTTATAATTACCATGGTCTATTTAATATACTGACATGTATATATATATATATATATATATATATATATATATATATATATATATATATATATATATATATTGACTATGACAGAATTACTTTTGATGAGATTTATATTGACGTGATTATACATGTTTATATTTGTTTAAATGTATATAATAGTTTTGTTTTTGTTTTGTAGATGATAATAATCACATAAGAAGACATTTTTCACTAGCTTCTGAAATTATTTTCCCTGGAACTTCGGTTACTTTATTAGCCATATTTCTCATATTTTCTGGTAACATACCTAGAAATTATGATAGTAAGGATATATATATATATATATGAGAACACCATCAACGAATTGATAAAAATAATTTATCTACTGTTATATTGTGGTGTGGATTACTTATATCCACACAAGTAGTATATAACGGTGGTTAGACATATAATGTATCTCAGTAGAAGGTCGATGAGGAAAGAGCGAGAATGGAACGTAATTGATATAGAAACCTATGAACAGCTAAATCTGAGACAATGGATTGATGATTGCAACAGGAACAGTCAAGTTTGATATGATGGATTGATATGTTGCAAATTAACGATTTGCTACATGGTTCTCAGATTTTATTGAGTTGCTCTGCAATTTACTGTCAATTACATCCAATTGTCCCCACTCGTGTTCTTGTTCACTACAATATGACTACAAAATGGGATTCAAAAACTAGATAATGATTAAGATCTTGAACCGATTGATGTTAGACCACCATTCAAAACCCAGGGGTGCTGGATGGCCGTTTCGTCCTATTGTGGGACTCCTCAGTAGTGCATCCACAATCCTGCTGGAGGGATTCGAACCCAGCTAATTCGTGTCGGGTAGGGATAGGTATCTACCTCAGTACAATGGAATATGGTCGTGCAATTTTGTAGATTGGTACAGGTTAGACATTAATACCGTTGAATGCTGGCCCAATGGCCTAGTAGGTTGAGCGTTTGCACGTGAGACTGAAGGTTCTGAGTTCTAATCCAGCTAGCGGGATCGTGGATGTGTACCGCTGAGGAGTCCCTCAATAAGACGAAACGGCCGTCCAGTACTTCCAGGTTTTCAATGGTGGTCTAACATCAATCGGTTCATGATCTCAATTAAAAACATGATAATCTCCACAACCCTATACTGATAACTAAATGATGGTTTCTTAATCAATCTGAGAGATTAACTTAATGTTAAAGTGATAAGTGTCACATTATTCAGAATGATGTAAATAAAGTTGGTTAGATAGTATCATAGCATACTCGATAGTCAAAGATCATAGCCACATAACTAACTTTGGGAATTCAGCACGATACATCATAGGATAAAGTGATAGTCCAGAGGTGAAAAACGTTCTTGAATAGCTTTGATCATATACTGATATCGGAACGAGAAACGATAGATAAATGTCCGCTCATTTGATTCAAGTTTTTGAAGCCTCAAGATTTTTCATTGATAGTTCGATACTGGAACCATCAACTTGTAGTATTATGAATGAACATGATACCACTCACTCAATTATAGTACAATCCTTATTCAATACTAATCATCAGTAACTGTCTCATTTTCGATTCAATTACCTCAATACTTTATATTCACTTTTGAGAATCTGAGTGCCTTATGAGACGTTCAACAAAACAGTTTTACAGAGATAATTATACGGACAATAGACTTTCATGATATGGTCGTTTATTTCTTGACCTTCTACTGATATTTATTCTTATAACTCCAGCGTTTGATATACTAGATACTAGACTTCATGTTAACATTAATGTCTACCCGAGATAAGTGTTTATAGTCTTTCCACCGGATCCACGTTGAATCATCAAGTTTGTGAAAACTAAAGCTTATTATATAACGACTGATTAATGATTCTTTAAAATTAAGCTACTCTATGGCAGTTAGGAAATATCCCGCCTTAATATTTATGGCTAGTTTCTGGCAGTCAGTTTCTACAGGATTACAATAGCTTTACTCCAGCCGAAATAATTGACTCCCTCTATTACTTATTTATTCTACTCACCACAAAATATCATATGTTTCTATAAAATTGCTGAAAATTCATTTTCTGATTGCGAATACATATTAAATTTCAATGAGAACTAGAGAGTAGTATGGTGTAAATTATTCGAAAACTAAGGTTGAAATATCAAAAAACTGATTTTGATCTAAATCGTCGTCTACTGTAGGAAATCCCGTAAGTTCTAGATTGATGAAAATAGTTATTTTTGGGCAATCGCATGTCGACTCATACGTTTTGATAGTTAAGATCATGAGTCAGTTGAAGCTAGATCACCATAGAAAACGTAGGGGAACTGGACGGTGCAAAAGACCGATAAGTTCTGGGTTCGATTCTCGCGAGGCTGGATCATGGATGCACACTGCTGAGGAGTCCCATACTAGGAAGAAATGGTAGTCCATTGCCTCCAAGTTTTCCATAATGGTCTACCTTCAATTGATCCATGAATTCAACTATTGAAATTACTACAATCTCCACAAAACCCATTCTCATACATTTTAGTTAATAATCCCCGCACCATTCAATTTTCTCAATATTGTAGTATACTACTAACATATGAATCAGTAGCATGTAACAGGTACATAAATTTACTTGTTAAAATGTTTTCATCTTCCGCTTCATTCGCTTCAGCCGCTAGTTCAGCTGGTGTTTTCCGTTTACGGCCAAGACGACCTTCAGGACTAGAAAAATCGAAATCAGCTGGAACCTCCTCTTCTTTTTTCTTAATGCCATACTAGAAACATAAATGAATATATAGAAAAAATATGTCAAAATGAAGAATTGTATACAATAAATGGTTACAAAAATTGACATACGTTTAATCCCAAAAGAATTTCCCACTTATTCATATGGATTGCACTAGTCGTAAATTTAAAAATAAACTAAAATATAAATAACGATGGAACAAAGTCAAGCTTATGGCTAAAACTAAAAAAAACCTGTTGTTCTTTTAACTGGTATGTGATGTAAATCATTATCGGATTTAGAGAAAGAATTTAAATCAAATTTATTTTATTTGAACCGTAATAACCGATTATAATAGTTAAAATCCAAATCAGAAAGTGGTTTTGTGGATATTATAATAAATTAGTAGTGAGATTCATGGGTCAATTGTAGCTAACCCACCATGGAAATCCTGAAAGCACTGGATGGTCGTTTCATCCTACTGCTGGACTCCTCAATAGTACGCACTCATGACCTCGCCTCGCTGATAGTTACACAAGCCGTGGCTTCCACCATAGATCTCTATAAATATATTAATGGCTCTGAATACTCACTAAAAATCCCAAATCTTTTGCGTTAACAGTTGCTAAAGCACTAAGTAATCAACATAAATGGATAGCAATTTAGCAATCATGTTCAGATGTATTTTGACATCTGCAGACCGAAGAAGTACCTGTAATTGAAAACACCACTAATAATAATATGATTTGCGGGAAAGTTAAATTTTGAAGCTAGTAATTCATCAGTCCTAGCCGATATTTCCTAAAAACATTTACAACACAAATGATGACATTAGGCTAATATTCTTATGCGGTCTCATGATTTAAAATAAATGTTAAGCAGAAGCCTCTATGTATGATTCTATACCATAGTCCTACAGTTGTAAGTTAAAGCGAATAGAATGAACGTTATGTAACAATTTAGTTCATTAACTCGTAATTTTTTCTGTATTATATGCTAGATTGATACAGTGAGGAGCATAAAAACAGACTTTTAAGGTAGTTTGCATAATACTTAGCACAAATTCCAATCTTAGCCTTTACGTAAAATTAGTAGATAACCATTGGATACAATCCATTACGGATTTTTGCATGTTTTATTCAATCGTTTTGTTAAACTGATAGAATGAAATCATATTTAAAGATTGTATTACAAAACATTTGGATTTTAATTTAGTTGTTGAATTCATGAGTCAATTGAAGCTAGACAACCATGGAAAATCTGGAAGCACTGGACGACCGTTTCGTCCTAGTTTGGAACTCCTAAATTACTACAGTATCCATAAAACCCCTTCGGGTATTAATCAACATATACTCACTAGTGACTGGCTTCAAGAGATATTTCCTGGATTTTTAGTGAGATGTAGCGACTAGTGGAGTTCAACCAAGTCTGATATGAGATAGTAACTCATTGAAGATAATGGTGGATGTTTCTCTCAATTTGGTGAATTAGTTGAGGTTAGAAATTCACACCGTTGGATGCCAGTCGTCTCAGTGGTCTATAGGTTGAGCGTTTGCTCGCGAAACTGATAGGTCCTGGGTCCAATTCTCGCGAGTCGAGGTCATGAGTGCGTACTATTGAGGAGTCCAGCAGTAGGATGAAACAACCATCCAGTGCTTTGAAGATTTCCATGGTGGTTTAGCATCAATTGACTCATGATTTCAACTAGTGAAATTTCTAGAATCTGCACAAAACCCGTCCTCATAATTTCAGTACTATCTACAAAATAAATTCCGGAAACTAGGAAAAATATTTCATAGGACAAAGTGGACTCCTTTTATATCTAATCAAAAATTAATAGTACAAATCTATAGTGTTTTTACATATAAAAACAAGACTGAATTAAGATAACCATAACATGAATTCCGTTTCGAAAAACGTAAACATTTTGAATCGACAAACTTTCAAGAATCCCTGAGAATATCTATAAACATACCATTTAAGTCAATCTACATACTTACATAGATACGATGTTCTAACTCATACAAAAGAGCCAATCAAATACTTGGTTAGAGGTCAACCAAATAAAAGGAATGAAATGTAAATACAAATGATGACAACAAAACCTACGGAAATAATCAATCACGAATAAGGTCATCAGAACTGTTTTAACATATGTGGAATTGGTTGAAGTTAGACATTAACACCGTTGGATGCCGGCTCAGTGGTCTAATGGTTAAGTGCTCGCGCGCGAAGCCAGTAGGTCCTGGGTTCGAGCCCCGCGTGGTGCGGGATCGTGGATGCGCACTGCTGAGGAGTCCCATACTAGGACGAAACGGCCGTCCAGTGCTTCCAGGTTTTCAATGGTGGTCTAGCTTCAACTGACTCATGATTTAAATCTGTGAAAATATGTGGAATAGCCAACAAAAAAAGTTCACTTTTATATGAAATTAACGCTAATGATGAAGACTTCCCAATAAAGTTATTCAGACCAAAGAATACAATATAACTAGAGGCGTCTATATGAACTACGTGTTTTCTCCACCACTTCAAACTCATAACTAGTGGTCTCTGTATTCAAAACGCTTCTATTTAAAGTCTCTTTGAGGGTCATTTATGGTTGTCAATCTTGCATAGTTATGGTGCAAAAAATCAACCTCTAGGTAATAAATATGATACTATACCACAAAAGACAACCTACTTTATCTCTGATACCTTGACGCATCACTTCTCGTTCTTCTTCCATTTTACGATGTTTAGCTTCTCTTTTCTCTTCTGCCTCACGTAATGCCGCTTCAACTTCTGGATCAATTTCTTTACGTCCACCTAAAACACCTTCACCTTCGTCTTTCTTATCACCTAATGCACCTTGAAAATTGATATCAAACAAGAAATAGAAAATTAGTATTATAAACAACGAGAAAAATGTTGTATAAAAACCTCTAAAGTGGTAACCAGGACGCACTGGACAGCTGTTTAGTCCTAGTATGAAACTCCAAAGAAGTAAGTATCCAGTGCCTCAAAGGAAATCGAACGTAGGAAATTCAGGTGTCGTAGTAGACATTTAAGCTTTTGATTGAGATCATGAACCGATTGATGTTAGACCACCGTCGGAAACCTGGAAGCACTGGACGGCCCTGGGGTCAAATTTCGCGAGTGGGGTCGTGGACGCGCACTGTTAAGGAGTCCCGCAATGGGATGAAACGGTCGTTCAGTGCTTCCAGGTTTCCTACAGTGGTCTAACATCATTCGGTTCATGATCCTAATCAAAAACTTAATCATCTCCACAACCCCCAGACTGATATTTAAGTTTTTATCATTGAGCTGGTAACCAGTGGTTTACATATTTGAATTTAACCAATTCGCGATATTGTTCAAACTTATTCCGTTGTTTTCGGTTAGTATCTTAAATCAGCTCTTGATTTCAATAACACTCAATGATCTGCACAAATTATCACACTGATAATTGTCATTTAATCACTAGAGGCAAACTTCAGGCGGAAATTTCTGAAGTTTTAATAAGTTGGACCCAGTTGAAATTTCACTATCCGCAATGTGAAACAGCCTTAAAGAGGAATTTATATGGACCTTTTTTAATAGCTTGGATTTTTGTAAACCAAGGATATAGCTTTCTGGTTAGGTTGAATTAAGTCAATTCCTACACGGAATAATTGTTGAATTAGCAGTGTTGAAGTTTGATGCAGTGTCATACATTGAGGAAGTAGTGAACTGAACAATACAAAAATGAATTTAGATTAGTATCAGAATGGACTTTGTGAAGATTGCAGTAATTTTGCTACGTGACTGGCTCACGTGACTAACTCACTAGTGACTGGCTTCAAGAGATATTTCCTGGATTTTTAGTGAGATGTAGTGACAAGTGGAGTTCAACAAGGTCTGATATGAGATAGTAACTCATTGAAGATAATGGTGGATGTTTCTCTCAATTTGGTGAATTAGTTGAGGTTAGAAACTCACACCGTTGGATGCCAGTCGTTTCAGTGGTCTGGAGGTTGAGCGTTTGCTCGCGAAACTGATAGGTCCTGGGTCCAATTCTCGCGAGGCGAGGTCATGAGTGCGTACTATTGAGGAGTCCAGCAGTAGGATGAAACGACCATCCAGTGCTTCCAGGTTTAAAACATGACAATTATTCAAAACAGAAATACATACCTTTTACTGAATCCAATTGATTTCCAATTAGTTGTTTTGCGATAAAACTCGCCATTTTTTAAAATTATACTTTTGTTAGGGAGAAATCAGAAGATATATGATGTTCGTTGAAGATTTGATCTTTTTATTCACTGTTTCTTATGTGATTTGTGTCTATACTTTTCGTTTCAACTTTCTATTTTAATTCCACAGTTCTTGATTTCTGTGGCATTTAATTATAATTCTAAAAAAAAAGAAACAACAACATAATTTCTTATTCGTAATGTACATGATTTGTGAAGATTGTTAAGTATTATTAGTTCACATATAGGACTTAGACAATCAGTGAAAATAAAGTACTAAACAATATGGAACTCTTCAGTAGTGAATATTTTCAATCCTAATGGTGATCGACTCCAAGATCTTAAGTCTCATAACTTTTGACTGATGAATTGGCATTTAATGGTTTACACATTTAATTCAAATTAATTCAGAATATTACTTGATTATCTCCATGTCTTTAGTGGATAACCGACTCATTCTCAACATAGTTAAATTTGATTGCTTAATCAGTTATGTAAATCATAAATGGTTACTATGACAATCAAATCATTACTCAAAATTATATGAAAAAAAGAGAAGAAACATATTTTTACTGATAAGTGAAAATACAAAAAAGTCTAATATTTGAAGAGTTTAAAGTACGAGTTTATTTCTATAGTTGGCTATATCTAAGACATGTGAAGTCTTCCAGTTGCATTAAAACATCGGTTAGTAAATGCATGTAGAGCATGAGACTACTGAGTACACAAATCTTTAAACTTCAGTGATTCAAAAGATTTATTCAAATATTCATTGAACTCTTGACTTGATCATTTACCCGCTGAAGACAATGGAAAATGATTCCTTAATATTGTGTATTACCTAATGTTAGAGATGTAAATCATTAAATACTAACTCAGTGGTCTAAAAGTTTAAAGCTAATCTCGAAACCTAAAGATTCTGGGTCCTATCCTCAGTCAAGTTGTGAGTAAACACTTGAGAGGAGTTCAATACTAGGATAATACGACTGTCTTGTATTATTTTAGATTCATTCACTGTATAATCAAGATCTTTTGCCAATGTAATCTAATATATCCAACAACTACCACAACACCTTGTAATGTAACGAAATAAGACGTTCGCGTGAGAGATCAGAGGTCCTGGGTTCGATTTCTACTTGGAGGATCATGGATGCGCACTGCTCATGAGTCCCATACTAGGACGAGACGGCCGTCCAATGCTTCCAGGTTTCCAATGATGGTCTGAAATTCATCGATTCATGGTTTCAGTTGAAAAAGAACATAGTAAGTTCCCATCTAATAAGTAGATTTTTATTTTATTGAAATTATCGATACACGTACTAAGGGTCTAATGGTAAGAAGTTAAATTTGATGAATTCATACTTAAAATCTAGTTATTTAATACATTTGTATATTGACAGTGTCTAGAAGTACTCATGCATTAATAAAGGTTAATGATCTTTTGAGTATTCTTATTCATAATGGATATGAAATCATTCTGATGTCACTTTATTGTCATTACATTCAATAATAAATTGTATGCACGAATAAAGTAATAATAATAATAATAATAATAATAATAATAATAATAATAATAATAATGATAGCAATATCCTATTTACTGTAAACAATATCCAACTGGATAAAGTACAAATACATTCATTAAATTATCTTTAATAAAATAATTCATTTCTGAATACTTTATTTTTTGTTTATCTTTTATGATACACCCGATCGATCATATGACATATATATAAATAAAAGAAATTCAATTAGTTGCCTTAACAACCATTAAGGGAAAAATAATTGTTTACTTATAGTTAGTTAATCAATGAAATGTTTAAAAATACTCATCACATTTCAATTTCAATTTTTCTATGAAGATTTGTATTATTAAAACATGGTATCGTATAAATTATAACTAGTAAATAAAAATGTTTTACATTACTAAGTGTATTATCATCAATAACTTTAACGATTGAAATTTTCGGATATATCAGAATGGGTTTTGTGGAGATTGTAGTAATTTCAACAGTTGAGATCATGAGTCAATTGAAGCTAGATCACCTTGGAAAGCCTGGAAGCATTGGACGGCCGTTTCGTCCTATTGTGGGACTCCTCAGCAGTGCATATCCACGATCCCGCCTCGCGGGATTCCAACCCAGAACCTGTCAGTCTGGCGCCAGATTTGGATATAATTTTAGTCACAGTATGACATAAGTTCTAGAAACAATAATTATCAGAGAGTGTTAACACAGCTGACTCTTGATGAAGTTAATTATCAAGATACCGCATCTGTTAGGTTTTGTACTAATTGGCATGCACCAACAAGGCTTACCTACAATATTGAAGGAATGAATACTTATTATTTTTTGGGGGGGAGATTCTGTAGTGTGTTATTTAGTCTATACCTATACTATACTGAATGAACTACTGAATGTTCCTACTTTTTTCTAAGTCTTAAACTGTAAAACCCATCAATTAGGTTGTGAATCTATTCAGTGAGAATAGATTAGAATTAACTCACAATACATGTCACATTAATTATTATTATTATTACAAGAGTTATTTTATCAGTTTTTAAATGGTTTAATCCATTTCAAAAGATCAAGTCTGTACATCATTTAGTGAATAAAGTATACATAAACTGTTGAAATAAACATGTCTTAGAATCAAAATATATTTTCATCTTAATCTTTGTTCACATTATTGTTTAATATATATACTCAAAGTTTAATAAACATTCATTTTACATGCTTAAGGTGATATTCGATAAATGAGTAACAAAGTTCACTAGTTAGTAATGAAGTATTTAGATCTATATACAATAACTTTTTAATGTATCATATTAATAAATTCAGATAGATTGATTCAATATTCCAGCAAACTAATAACTATATTACAAGATAATAAATAAGAACTTTCATCTAACTTTGATCGAATAGTTTCACAGTATTTGAGTACCGAGTTAATGTAAGACATTAAAGAGGAAAATTTGAAGTAATTCCAATGTTTCACTTGACAATCTGATTTAAGCTTTTTCAAGGAAATACTTGAAATTACTTCAAATTCTTTCGTTGAGATTTCTACAAATACATCTTTTTCTCCTTTTTTTTTAATAACTATATTGTTGTTTCTGTCAAATCAATTTAAGTTATATAATGATTTCTATGTTCTTATTCAATAAATCAATTTCAGGTACTTTTAGTAACTGTTTATCAATGAAACTGACTATTGTTCATTTGTCAAAACAAACATATACTGGTTATATATGTACTGAGATATATTGTTCCTTAATAATTTAGTTTAATAATCCTGTAAATTATGTAGTGAAGTAATGATAGAAAATACTTATGATCTTGGGTTATTTTAATTAGAATTTCTAGAAAGAGAGAATTCATATGACTTCATGCGGATATTGTAATAGTAACGGAGCAATAGTGGAGTATTTGTGTTTATCAATAGAAAATGCAAAAAATAATTATATGAAATGTTTAATGGATAATGTAATCAGTTCAATGTATAAAGTTTTTGTATGAAGATTATTGTTATCAGCTGATTACTTAGACGTAAATAAGAGGACTATAGGTACAAACCTGAATACAAGTTGTGTACTTAACTACTTTTCTCTATTGATTAACTAATATAGTCAATAGTCATTGTACATTAGTACTGTGTAACTCAGTTAAGCACTTGTCAAAACTCACAAAATAACATTCTAATAGCTTTTAACTAATAATAATAATAATAATAATAATAATAATAATAATAATAGAATAACGTTGAAAAAAAGGGACTGGGGTATTTCGTGAGGAATTGTAGAACTTATCACTTAAACTATACTTTAAATACATTATTATTATTACGAAGATAACCATTGAAAATAAAAATGTACTACTGATCGATTTTAGTAATAAGAAAGCATTTACACTGATTTACCGATTCTATTAAACAGATCAGTTTAATTTGAATACTGGATGAATGTTGTTCTGTTTAGTAGATTAGGAACTAAATAGATATTCGGAGATAACTATGCTACTTTATGATTTTGCTAATCTATAATTTCTTTAAGAAAAAACCATTGGGTTCTGCATGGGTCAATTTAGTATTTGAATCTATAGTTAGAGATTGAATTGATAAATACAGAAAAAGGTAGCTAGTCAAAGCAATTAATCTTTCAACCTTAAAGTAATCATTAGATGTGTGAAAAACATTAATTATAGTTTACCTGTATTGAAAGAAATAGAAACAATAAGAAGTTGGTGATTGTTCAACATTCCGAAATATAGAAGAAAATAACCTTTCAGAGCGTAATCAAGTTTTCATCATTTATCCTTCAGAGAATAACTTCACAGTAACCCTATATCTTTTAAATATGTTTATCAATAGATCAATATTTAAGACTGATCCTTCAAAGTTTCATCTTGTTAAATGGTACCCGAGAAATACGAATACATCTGTAATGATCGAGTTATCATTTAAAATAGCCTAAGAAACATTTTTTATACATTAAAAGAATTTCAAGTGTTAAAATATCAATAATATGATTCTACTTACTAATTGATAATGATTATATACTTACCCCAAGGCCCCCAAGTGCCCTGGTATGGCCGAGTGTGAGGAGAGTCCCCTCTCCCTCTCCCAATGCTCTCACATGGGCTCTGCCGGGGAAGTCCTACTCACTGCCTTCTCGTGGCGGGGGTGTTGTTTACAAAATTGAGAGGACAAAAAGCGAATGTCCAGAGCTTTAACCGGGTTGGTGGAAACGAAGAGTCCACCTAGGGGAGTTGGAAAATCCTCATTCCAAACCAATAGTGTACATGGGATTCAGGATCCTGAAGGAACAAATGGTGTATGAACCAATTGTTGTTCACCGGCTACCATGAGAATGCATTTCCTGACGTTGCTCCACTGCCTTATGGATCAGACCTTTAGGTCGAAGGCTCCGGATGTGGCCCCCTAAGAAAACCACCTGTTTTGGTTTGGGCACCCAGGCAGTATAACAGCCCTCACACAAATTAAAAATGAGATTTGTGTGGTGCATATCTATTTGATGCCTCCTTGTACCAGTATTTATGTGTTCAAATAAATAAATAATAATAATATACTTACCAGAATATAAAATGAATTCCTATTTCGCTATTAATATTTACTTTGAAGAATATTTATTATTCTTTTAGTAACTATGATAATGTTATATGGTATATTTGTTCGTTTGCTTTTTTTTCTTTTTCTTTATGAGTTCTATGCATATGGTTAATGGATATTTTTAGTTGATTCTTATAAAGAGTATTAAATATTATCAATTTCATTATATTAACCCGGGCAGAGAATAATAATCATTTTTCTAATAGCCTATAAGAATGAAGTTAGTTAAAGTATGGAAAAAAATATTCATAAACCAATCACTATGAATTATTTTTATTTAACTAGTCAATATGAGACTGAATTTGAGTTTAAGCTGAAGTAAATTTTTACCCTTTTTTTTATCAATAGTTTACTTATACAATAAAATAAGGGAATATTGGTCTGAAAGGTAGGCAATAGATAGAATTATAATTTAAGAGGAAAAAGAATATAGAAATAGTTTATAGTAATAATATTGATGACAGATTTGTCTAAACTATGTAATGCTCTTTCTTTTCTTTTTCTTTTTACTCCTGTTTACTATTCTAAACGTGTAGTGTATATAAATTTGTAGAATGGTAGTTGGAGGGAGTCAACAGTAAAACCTGGACCCGGGTTTCGTGCTCTTTGACACTCGTCAACAAGATGTACCGGTAATCTTGGGGGAACTCGTGCTCCCTGACCACATTGCAGCCTGGTCAATAGCATTCGATCTGCACTAAGAAGGACTTGATACACATGACGTTGATCACCACCCAGTGATCAATCAATTGTTAATAGAAAATTTATATAAATAGGCATTATTTTGTTGCTAAATTATGGCAGTATCATTGATGAACGAGGTGGATTTGATGCAGATGCGAGGGCGCGGATCGGAAAAGCAAGGGCAGCAATTTACAACTGAAGAATATCTGGAACTCAAAACAGCTGTCTGTCAACCAACACCAAGGTCAGGATTTTCAATGCAAATGTCAAAACAGTTCTACTGAATGGGGCGGAAACCTGGAGAACTACGAAAGCCAACCATCATCCAGAAGATGCAGATGTTTATTAACAGCTGTTTATACAAAATACTTCGGATCTGTTGGCCAGACTCGATCAGCAACAACCTATTGTGGGAGAGAACAAACCCGATTCCAGTGGAGGAAGTAATCAGGAAGAAGCGCTGGAAGTGGATAAGACATACATTGAGGAAAGCACACAACTGCGTCATAGTGCAAGCCCTCATATGGAATCCTCAATGTCAAAGGTGGAGAAGGGGAAGCCAAAGAACACATTACGCCGGGATATGGAGACAGATATGAGAAAAATGAACAAGAATTGAATAGAAGTGGAAAGGAATGCAGAGGACAGAGTGGGTTGGAGAATGATGATCGGCGGCCTATGCTCCATTGGGAGTAACAGGCGTAAGTAAGTAAAATATTTTAATATGTACAAATCATCTAATGTACATGTTCTTTATTAAGTAGTATGAATTATTTTATTTTACTATAGTGCTGATGGGAGGCTTATGCTTCTCTACGAGGGGTAACAAGCGTAAGTAAGTAGGTAAGTATAGTGTTGATTATGTTTATCATCAGATAAGTATTTAAACTTGTAAATCAACCTACTAACAAATTGAAATTTACCACAACAAACCAAATATCATTTATGTTTCATGATTTAACACTGAATGATAATAGTATGTGAAAAAGTAATCAGAATTTATCCACAGTGTTAGCTCATACATTTCAAAATGATCCGAACCCATTATCAAACTGTAAGAAAACCTAATTAAAGCGCTAACTGGGAAATGTCATGTGACATATTTTGTATCTAAATTAATTTATGATGGTTCCGATTATCCCGTTGTTGATACTTTGATTGAAGGTTGATCAATCATGGTTGACATATGTGGATCCTATGAGGACTGCTTTGATATACCTATTATAATAAAAGTTGGTGAAGAATAGATGGAATGCGGCTAACAGTGGAATCTAGGACTGATTACATTTTAGTCAAAATATCAATAACGGGATAATATTCGTTGTGCAAGTGGATGATTGTCTAGAATCAGTAGCTAAGTGGATAGCGTGTTGGTATTTGAAGCCGACGGTACTGTGTTCGAGGACTAAACTAAACATTAGCTCTGAGATGCAAGAATATTCAACTAACGAATCTTAAATAGGCTGAAACGCGAATCCTGGATTCCATTGCTAGCCATATCCCATATCTTAGATAGCAAATGATAAGAAAATATATGCTGACTAGTTGTAAAAGGACCAGGGTAGGATATAAAAAAATGCCGATTCACTAACTGGTCATTAACTATCACTGATCCAGAAGTTACTTTTAAATAGACAGTTTTTGGGTTCTGAGTTACAGAGTCAAAAGTAGATATTTGCTGAAGCACTATGTTACTGAATAGAATCATTTCAACAATCAAGTTATACTGATGGATAATCTCATAGTAGGACATGAAAGCTATCCATTTATATCTTTAAATCTTAGCTAACATTAAACACAGTATATTTTCTGTGTACAGAACTATATTTTTTGGTTGTTGTCAGCTGATAAATAAGGACAATTAAAAATTCAAAGATGGATAGTAACTAGCAGTGAAATCTAGGACGTGCGTTTCGTCCTATTTGGGACTCGTCAACTGGATATACCTGCATCTTAGAGTTGATGTTCACTCCGGGAGTGACTCAAATCCAATACCGTTCTCTTTAAACGCCATTGCGTTATCCACTTAGCTAATGAATCCTGATAATCATCTGCTTGTACAATGGGGTGAAGTTTTCAATTCACATGATGTTGTTTACTTATATCGAGGTAGCATACATGCCAATATGAGATTGATCATATAAAGTGGTAAATAACAATAAAAAGATACAAATAAAACAACACCGAGTGAATTTAAACTTCACCCTATTGCACAAGCAGGTGGCTGTCGGTACTCAGTAGCTAAGTGGATAACGCAGTGGCGTTTGAAGCGAATAATGCTGGGTTCGATTCACTCCCGGAATGAACATCAACTCTGGGATGCAGGTACATCCAGTTGACGAGTCCCAAATAAGACGAAACGCACGTCAAACTGGATTCTACTACTAGCCATTATTTATCTTTGCTTAAAAGCTTGTGACTTAAGGCTATGTCCAGGAAATCCTCACAGGATCCATATATGCCAACATGAGACTGATCAATTGTGCAAATTTAAATAACAATAGGAAGATTCAAGTAAAACAACACCAAGTGAATTTAAATTAACAATTCAGCTATTACTAACATCAACTCATTAATTGTACAAATATATATTCACCATTATATATGTGTAACTCCTCCTGAAGTCCCTATGTGGGCTACTGCCGGTCCCAAACCCGGATAAAGGAGAAGGATTGAGCATGGGGTTAGCTACCCAATCCTGTAGAAAACTAACGCACTAAAAGAACGCTAACCAGAAAAAAATTATTATATATGTGTAAATAATCATGCCTTACTAGTTTAATAACACTGTCATAATACAAGTACAGAAGAAAAAAAAGAGAGAAGAAAGAATCTGTTTAAAACGTTTAGCTTGATTAATGAAAATAATTAGAATAAGATAGACTGAAAATTTTTTTCTTTTTTTTGTGTTTTACAGTAGGTTATAAAAGTATTTCTATCATAGTATGAGGATAACATAAATGTCTTAGTATTTGCTGATAAATCGGCGAGACTATAATTTATGGACGAAGCAGTCAGATTTACGATAATAGGTCTGAGGATTTAGCGCGAAATTCATTCACCCATTTGGCCAGATAGAATCCTGGCATTATAGCTGATGTCAGTTGGTGATGAAAACCCTAAATCTAATTCCTAACCTTAACCGTCAACTGTAAATCATCATCCTTATTCTTCAAAATGCTTTATAACCCTCATTTAGCTCTAGTAAGTAGGCAGACACTCTCAAGATCACTTTAGCGTCGGTCAAAGGTCGTCCATATATTATAGTCTCCGCCTGAAGCCCCTCTGAGGCCACTGCCGGTCCCAAGTTCGGTTAAAGCGTGAAGGTTAGGCATGAGGTTAGCGACCCCATCCCGTAGAAAACTAACTCGCTAAAAAAACGCTAACCAGAAAAATTATTCAAACCGATAAATCCTGTAATTGAATGCTAGATTCAGTTTCTAAGCTCTTTTAGAGACCCCTAGGTTAGATCTAAACAGCAACTTGAATACGAGAGAAAAGACGTAAATTATAGGAGAAACGCTTTACTCCAAATGTTTGTTTATGTACAAGAAATCTGGGGTTTTTATGGTATTTTAGATGGCTTTAGATTTCAGGAAAATTCTGGAATGCTACTAAACATAATACCAGGTATAGGTAATCATCCAATCAGAAACTTGATGTGTGATTTTTGCACTTATTAGATGTTTCGTGCAAAACGTCTAATGATGCTTCTCAATGTTTTCAGAGCCTCTCCTGAGTTTTTTTTCGAGGAGTTTTTTGAATCTCTTTGACAGCTGTCAAGTCTTGAAATATTTCTATTGTGTTATTGTTTTTATTATTAAAACAAAATCAGATCAAATTTCAAATGATTCAATATATTTATTGTGTTGCAAAGATAGAAACTTTTAAAACTGATTGGAATAGTACATAATTTAAATTACTTGTATGTAATGTATTCGAAACATTACCTTATTAACTTTTAGTTTTGATTATCAGGTTGTTTTAATCTTACTCATTTGTTAATGCTCATTGTTGTTGTTGACTAGTTTGATTATTGGACGTAGGACGATCTTATGTAATTATTGAATTGTTGGATGGCTTTTTCTTTTTTGTTCTTTCTCTTTTCAGATTATTCTGAAAACTCTACTGTTCACATTCTTCCAGTACACAATGTAACTTCAAGCTAAACATAAATCTCAAAAGTATGAGATGCATAAACACCATCTCTTTCAATTTTATGCTTTTACCCTTCTATATTAAATGTATTTTTATCTTTGTTCGACAAACATTTGCCTCAATCTATTAAATTATTCTCACTAAGTTACTGTCCCGTATGGAATACTAATAAGGAATGTTAAATGTAATAATTAATCGATAAGGCCTTTATCAGATCAATATTAGAAGACTTGGAAGAGGGATTACCAATATCTAATATGATATACTTTCTGTCATGAACTAACGTTAAATGATGAACCCTTGAAAAC